AAACAAACAAACAAACAAACAAACAAACAAACAAACAAACAAACAAACTAACAAACTAACTAACTAACTAACTAACTAACTAACTAACTAACTAACTAACTAACAAACAAACTAACAAACTAACTAACTAACTAACTAACAAACAATTATTATTATTATAAAAACTTTCGTTTCATAATTACTGTTTGTTGCGCAACATTAATACTGCTGACAACAAAAATGACATCAACAAAATAACAATAATAATGAAAGTAGTAGTAAAAATAATAATGATAATATTATATGGCATTTATTATGGCGCAAATTAATCATTAGCAAAAATTTATATTTTGCAATAATTCTTGAAGGTGCACATTTTCAACTTCTAAAATTCCTCAAGTGTCAAATCGGGTTATCTTACATTATTTGGTGAACTGTTCCAAAATGTCAATCCGACAACTTCAAAATCTCTTCCAGCTCTTTTCAAATTAACCTTCTTAACTTGAAGGATGTTCATGCCTGATGACATTTAAACTGCGATGGGATGGGAACGAATCATAGAAGCTCTGTTACGTAAATTATATCCAAGTATTCACGCGCAAGATTGTTCACACATTTGATAACTATAACTCCTAGTTTGAACAAAATACTTTCTTTGACAGGAAGCCAGTGTAGAGACTTCAAAATCGAAGAAGCGCGATCAAATTTTGTTCCACACTTGATAGTTTTGCCGCCTGGTTCTGTATAAGTTGCAATTTATTACGCCGATTATCTGGGATTCCATACAGGAGACTTCTACAGCAATCGAGTTTTGATGTATCAACAATCAGTGCTTGCACCGACAAAAGTAGACAGAAGTTTTGTCCAAGATAAAACCCATATTTAAGACTGCATCAGAGAGTCGCGTGTCAGTCAGATAGAATTTTCCTTAGCTAGAGATAGATGTTGCCAGGTCCCAACAAGCATGCACTGAGTTTTTGTTTGGTTTATCTTCAATCGGTTTTTACCCAACCATTCACTGACTTCGTTAATGCTACTAACAAGTCTTTCTGACATATTTGGAAACTTAGACGGGCAGCATGAGGCACAAATTTGCATGTCATCAGCACACTAGTGACAAAAAACAAATGACATTAAAATATCTACATTCACGTTCAAGTCCACACACACACACACACACACACACACACACACACACACACACACACACACACACACACACACACACACATGAATGTACTTACTTGCACATGGGCGTACATATTAATTATACATCTATTTGCGTACATTAGAGTGTGTACACGCAATGAAATACAACCTTAATAATGCAAATAATTAAATTGGCTAATAATTAAATAAATTTTAAGATCGAAGTAGTAAGTAAATGTAGTTGAAGTAATTGTAGCGGAAGTAACTGATGTTGAAGTATAAGCAGTTCAAGTAGTTGTAGTAGAAGTTGGGGTTGTAGTAGTTGCAGTAGGTGCGATTGAAGTAGTTGTAGAATTTTATCCTAACAATTACTTTTATCATTAATTCGAATTTTAATAGGAACATCATTTCTTCATCGCATTCATGTCTCAATTGCTATTTCTAATTAACTGGTACTAACACCACAGCATCATCATCGTCTCATCATTCATCATTATCAACATCGTCATCCTCCTTTATCTCAATTATCATTATCATCATCATCATCATCAACATCATCATTATCATCAACAACAACATCAACGGCAAAAACAAAATCAGCCCCATCAGCATCACAATCAACATTACAATTTAAAGGCGCACTAATTGACTTTTGAAAAGATCAGTAGTAACAGTAACAACTGAAGTGGCGTACACAATCGTCATCGTCATCGTTGTCATCATGGTACTCATCTTCATCCTCATCATCACAGCCATCTTCATGCTCACCATCGCCGTAATAATAATAATAATCATAATAATATAATAATAATAATCATCATAATCTGGATTCTTTAACGCAATCATTACAATCATCATCTACATAGTTGCCGTTACCATCATCATCAATACGTCGTCGTCATCGTTGTCATCCTCCTCATCATCATTAAAACCATTTTATAACAGCCAGCATAAGCATCAACATCACCATCTGACTAGTATATCATTATCTGCAATCATTGAAATAATTAACAATCATCGTTATAGGTTTGTGTTATCATCTTCATCGTATTAATGTTATCATGTATTTGTTTTATAACTTTCAATTTTGCATCATCGTCGTCATCATTTGACATCGTTTATTGACAGCTGATATTACAAATCTCACTATTATTGTATAATCATAATCAGATCATTGATGACTCATTAATATTCCTTCACTCTATTTTTTTTTTATCTTTTCTTATTCCAGCCGTAAAACAAAACTCACAGCAAATATAATAATAACAAACAAAAAAACATAACAATAATGAAAAAACCCACATCACCGCCAATCAAAACCACACCACAACCAAAACACCCACACAAACGTCAGCCACAAAAAATGACAACGACAGCCACACCATCAACAACTACAACTACACCACCACCAACGTTAGCCACACCACCACCAACAACAACGACGACACCAGCGCCAGCAACAATCTAGATTAAAACAACTAACAAATTGCACATAAGGTCAAATGAGTCCATTCTTTTAAAATTACTGACACATCATTACTACTAGAGCTTCTAAAAGTACTTTTACTACTAATACTATACTTTTAAAAATGTCGTTACCAGATACTATTTCACGATTAGTACAGTTTGTAATATTAATAATTACAATACAAAAAACATTACCAGTGGCATAAGATGATGACAACAACAACGTAAAAAACAACATCTACTGCTAATAAAACAGTGCAGTACCAATGAAGTTACAGTAGCGACTACTACGACTTCAGTGGTACCACACTTACTAAAACTACTACTACTTCTTTTAGTAGTTAGTATTTTTATTTTACTACTACTCTTATGTCATAAAAAAATTCTATTGCTAATAAAACAACAAAAAGAGTAGCAACTACAATGACTTCAGTGGGTGGTACTACAATTACTACAACGACCACAACTAACAGGATTGGTGGCAAGTAGTGGCGGTAGTATTTTTATTTCACTACTACTCTTACGTCATCCATTGCAGTAAACTTTGAACGAAATCGCCTTTTCTAATTAATATTGAGAGAAGGTTTGAAGGTTCAAATGTTTTGCGTGGTGTGAGTGTGTATGTGTGAGTTTGTGTTTGTTTGTGTGTTTGTTTGTGTGTTTGTTTGTGTGTGTGAGTTTGTTTGTGTGTGCGCGCGTTTGTGTGTGTGTGTGTGTGAAGTGTATTTTTTCCTATTTTTTCGCAACAGCTGTAAATAAAGTTGATATTTATAAAAGTTAAGATGAATTAATTCACATTTCACAAATTCACCAGTTCGCGCCTTTTTAATTAATTTAAAAATATTTTTTCAGATTGAACTGTCTCGAGGTAATGCGGAACTTTTTATGTGTTCTGCACTGGCTCTTTAATTTTTTTTTCTCCAAAATTTTTATTCATCAACACAGTGCTTGCCTCAGCGTTTTGTCTATTCTTTCTCTCTCTCTCTCTCTCTCTCTTCTCTCTCACTCTCTCTCTTTCTCTCTCTCTTTCTTTTTTTATCTATCTATTTTACTCATTTTTTTCAATGTTTTTTCTTTTCTCTAGTATTTCATATTCTTTCTCATAATTTTTAAATTTTTAATTTTCTCTTTCTCTCTCTCTCATTCCTTCATTTTTTCAACTCTT